AAGAAGCACTCAGTTCTACCGCTGCCGAGCTTTCTGCTGTCCAAGAAGAGCTGGCTCTATCAAAGTCTCAAGGCGTGAACCTGGAGGAGAAGCTCTCGGCTAAGGAAGCTCTGATAAATGAACTGAGTGAGGAATTGAGCTTGAAAAAGGCCTCGGAATCTCAAGTGAAGGAAGATATTTCCGCTCTTGAAAATCTGTTTTCGTCAACTAAAGAAGATCTTCAAGCAAAGGTTTCTGAATTGGAAGAAATCAAGCTGAAGCTACGGGACGAATTGAGCGCCAAGGAATTAGTTGAAGCTGCACGAAAAACTCATGAAGAACAGTCCGTAGCTGCACAGGAGAATTTGGCAATAGTAACCAAAGAAAAAGGAGGTCTGGAAGCAGCTGTGGCAGATCTCACCGGTAATGTGCAGCTGATGAAGGAGCTGTGCAGTGATCTCGAAGGAAAATTGAAGCTTTCGGAAGAGAATTTTCGTCAAAAAGATGCTCTTTTGTCTCAATCTTTGTCAAACAATGCCGAGCTTGAACAGAAGTTGAAGTCGCTGGAAGAGCTCCATAATGAATCAGGAACTGCTTTTGCAACTGTTACTGACAAGAATCTTGAACTTGAAGCAATTATTCAAGCTTCAAATGCAGCAGCGGAGGAGGCAAAGTCACAACTGAGAGAGCTCGAGATGCTCTTTATAGCAGTAGAACAAAAGAATGTAGAGCTTGAGCAACAGGTAAGTGCGGTAGAGCTGAACCGAGGAATTACTGAGAGTGGTCTGGAAGAACTCTCTCAAAAATTATCTGCACTCAATACTGCATTGAGCAAGGTCGAGGAAGAAAAGAAACAGCTGACTGGTCAGGTGCAAGAATACCAAGAGAAGACAGGCCAGCTGGAATCTGCGTTAAACCAGTCAACTTTGCAATATTCAGATCTTCAGGAGGAACTGAAGACTGCCTCCGAGAAATGTGCCGAACATGAGGGCCGGGCCAGTGAACACCATCAGCGAAGCCTCGAACTTGAAGATTTGGTCCAAATTTCTCATACCAAAGTGGAGGTTACTGGTAAAAAGGTGAGCGAGCTGGAGTTGATGCTTGAAACAGAGAAGTCCAGAATTCAAGAACTCGAGGAACAAATAACTGCGTTGGAAAAGAAATGTCAGGAGGCAGAAGCAGATTCTGGGAATTACTCTAACAAGGTATCTGAACTTGCTTCTGAACTCGAGGCATTCCAAGCGAGAACATCTAGCATTGAAGTTGAACTGGAAGCAGCCAACGAAAAGGGAAGGGAGTTGTTCGAAGCCTTGAATGTTGCACAGAAGAGAAGAAAAGGTTGGAGGATGCATCGAGTAGTTTTACTGAGAAGTTTTCCGAATCAGAAAAATTGGTGGAGGTCTTGAGAGAAGAATTGAAGATGACTCAAGAGAAATTGGAAAGCATTGAAAATGATCTGAATACTGCTGGAATCAGAGAAGGCGAGGTCATACAGAAACTCAAATCTGCGGAGGAGCAACTGGAGCAACAAGGCAAAGTAATAAAGGAAACAATGTCAAAGAAATCAGAGCTTGAAGCACTACATGAAACCCTAGTGAGGGATTCAGAGATCAAACTTCAAGAAAAAATAGGGCGCTTCACTAACAGGGATGCCGAGGCAAATTCTCTGCTTGAGAAACTAAAGATTCTTGAAGATCAGGTGAAGATTTATGAAGAGCATGTTGCTGAAGCAGCGGGGAAATCTGCATCGTTGAAAGAAGAGCTGGACAACAGCTTGGCTAAATTGGCATCTTCCGAAAGTACCAATGAAGAACTCAGAAAACAGATCTTGGAAGCAGAAAACAAAGCTTCTAAGTTTTTCTCAGAAAACGAAATGCTAGTTGAGAAGAATGTTCAGCTGAAATGCAAGATTGATGAATTGCAGGAATCGTTGAATACTGCTCTATCTGAAACTGAAGCCACTACAAGAGAACTTGTTTTGCACAAGAGCAGTGTTGAAGAATTAACAGATAAGCACTCGAGAGCCTTAGACCTTCATTCTGCTTCCGAAGCCTGCATTGTGGAAGCAGAGACGAAGTTGCAAGAAGCCATTGAAAGATTGAGTCAGAGAGATTTGGAAGCTAACGACTTGCTGGAGAAGCTAAATGCCCTAGAAGGCCAAATAAAATTGTATGAAGAGCAAGTTCGAGAAACATCTGCGGTTTCTGAAACCAGAAATGCAGAGCTAGAAGAGAGTCTATCGAAGCTGAACAATCTGGAGAGTTTTGTTGAGGAGCTGCAAACCAAGTCAGCTCACTTTGAAGAAGAGAGCAGGAAACTAGCTGAGGCAAATATAAAGCTTACAGAGGATGTGTCTACATACGAGTCCAAACTAAGTGACCTTGAAGCAAAATACTCCACTGCCGTTGTTGAGAAGGATGAAACAGTTGAACAACTTCAGGCTGCAAAAAGGACCATTGAAGATTTAACGCAGCAGCATTCTTCTGAAGGGCAGAAACTACAATCTCAGGTTTGCACCAAAACTTTTTATAATTATTTTGCGGCTAAATATTGTTGCTTTATGCTTATAAGCTACATTCGTTTGCCACAGATATCTTCAGTTATGGATGAAAACAGCCTGCTTAATGAAGTGCATCAAAATACTAAGAAGGAACTCCAGCAAGTGATATCCAACCTTGAAGAACAGCTCAAGGAACAAAAAGCAGGAGAAGCTGCTTTAAAATCTGAGGTTGAAAATCTCAAGGCTGAGGTTGCTGAGAAACCTTTGTTGCAGAATTCTCTCAAGGAACTTGAAGAGAAATTGGTGAAAACTGAAGCTCAACTGCAAAAAGAGGTAGAATATCAATTTCCATGAAAAAAAAAAATAAGCTCTTGGGCGGCCAAAGAACGGGGCACATTCATCTTTTGAATATTCTTTCTGACTCAGACGAATTGTAGGTTGAAAGCATTAAGGCGGCTGCAGCGGAAAGAGAGGCAGAGTTGACTTCAAAATTGGACGATCATGCGCATAAGGTCCATGACAGAGATTTATTAAATGAACAAGTCACAAAACTCCAGAGCGAGTTACAACTTGCTCATGCCACCGTTTCCGAAAAGGTTAGGAACCGATCAGTTTTCAAGATTTCTTTTACTTAAACTGTACGCTGACAATTCTCTACAAAAGGAATTTAATGCCGGCGAAAACGTTCATGTTTGAATTCCCTATTCAACAGAAAGAAGCAGATTCTCAAAAGGACCTGGAACGAGAAGCATCTTTGAAGCATTCTCTTGAAGAACTTGAAGCTAAGAATAAAGAAATCGCTCTTCTAGATAAGCAAGTCAAAGAGCTTGAGCAGAAAGTGCAGCTGGCAGATACCAAAGTAACAGAAAGGGTATGTTTATTTCTGTTTCCAACTCACTTTATAGTTACCACCACAGTAGAAATTTCGAAAACAGCATACGCTAGTTACATAATCTTAAGCTCTCAGTAGATGTCAAGTTTTTGGACATAATTGTCGAAAACAACTCGGGGGAAATGAAAACATTAAACCATACGAAAAGGGTTTCAGCTTGCACAAGGCTTTTAACTTACAAGAATTCGAGTGGGAAATTAAATTTACTTATGTTTAAATGATCGTGTTGTAGGGTGACGGAGGCAGTGTAGCCGGACTGGAAGTGAAATCCAGGGACATTGGATCAATCATTTCAACTCCATCGAAAAGGAAGAGCAAGAAGAAGTCAGAAGCAACACCTGCTCAAACCTCATCATCTTCAGATATCCATACACATACAGCTGAGGCTTCCCCAATGACAAGCGTTAAGTTCATCGTGGGAGTCGTGGGAGTGGCTGTGGTGTCTGTGATCATCAGCCTCATTCTTGGGAAACGATACTAGATCAAGTTTTTGTGTTTTTGGGTTTGTCCGTCAGGTTTTGGTTGATTACTTCGTTAATTGTTTCGCTTGGTGGACATTATCCACAGAAAGATTGAAGGCTTTGTTTTTGTGCTTTCAAGCTTGGTTTTTGAGAGGTTGTTGGTCTGGGAATTTATTTTAGTTGCTATCCCCTTGGCTGTTTGCAAAGCAAAACACAGATGAATATGTGTTATTGGAGTTTGTATTTAGTTTGTATATTGGGTTGCAGATGCTTTCGAAAATATAAGAATTTATGCGTTTGTTGATATGAAAAGAGGACGGTCTCAGTTGTTTGTGAGTCATATGGTCGGATCCCTAAATGAAATTAGTTTAGGGCCGTTTGATAAGCATTTCATTTTCAGTTTTTATCCTTCTTTTTTGAAAACTGAAAACTCGTTCGGCAACTATTTCTAATTGTCAACTACAAAGCCCCATTTTTCTACCATGTAAACTACCTACTTGTAATTGTTTGTTGCAGGAACTTGCCGAACCAATTCAGATCACCGGAGGCTGGCCGCGATCACATATTTTTCCTCCTACTTTCCCTCACTCTGCAGTAATGCCAGGGAAAGAATATAATCGGCATGAGCAGTATCTCTAGACATGCGAGTTTGCTAAGATGCCTTCCTTCCTGTAGGTACTTGAAGAAAGTGACGGTGGTGTGGTGAACTCATAAAGATGCTTGTCTTTGCATTCTGTCCTGCCGGCTCAAGGAACAAAAAGCAAGAGAAGCTGCTTTAAAATCTGAGGTTGAAATCTCAAGGTTGAGGCTGCTGACAAACCTTTCTCTCTAAAAACTCTCCCTAAAAGATTCTAAGCTCTATCTTCTCACACAAGATTGCTTTTCATGTTCTTCCTTTCTGTCAAGGTTTATATTTCTGCAATTCGTACAAGATAGTTAAGAATATATATAACTAATCACTAAACATCCCAAGCTTAACAGCTAAGTAAGAATCTAATCCGGTGATGGTTTTGATGCATTGCTTTTTGGTTTGGCAATTTGATGCATTGCGTTTTGGTTTGGCAATCTCTCGAATTCGAGCTTTTAATCTCTCCCATTTCTTCCGTGGAAGCTGCTCCATTGGTTAATTTGGTTTGCATTTGGATTTGAATTGTTTTTTAGGTTTGATCTAATGCTTAATCACTAATTGTAATTATTTGAGGTGTTTTATGGATAATATGGTTGCGAAAACCGGGTTAAGTTTGGATTTGCATGTTTGGTGATTCTGATGTCACTGCCATTGGGCGTTTCTTTATTGAATTGTGTTTAGAACTTCATTTTGAAATAGAAATTTCAATTTGGAGTCATTAGAAACAGAAAAAGGGCGATTAAATAGTAGTTTCGAATATATTGTATATAGTGGAGAATCCGCATTTCATGAATTCTGCGAATATGATATGAAAGTGAGCCGGAGAAATCTGGCTAGTTATTCATATTAGCATGTGCCCTTGATCAGTCGTGTTTTTCTGGGGTGTCAAACAGGTATTGTCAGTTCGGTCTGGTCCATAGGATACGACTGATTAAGCAGTTAATAGTCAAAATCCTTATTGTAGCACCTGCACCACCCATCTTATACCATCTACGATCGTTTGCTATATAGATCATCCCTGTAGAAGCTCCACGTCAGGGTTCCTTGTATTACTGCAACGTTTCTTGTGCCCTTGATGTGTAAAGTTTGTAACTTTTTCCTTTGGCCTCAGATTTGTTTGAAGTTGTTGATCCAAGGGCAAAGCTGGTTGTCCATGAATTGGATGAACGGTCGCCTTCCAAGTCAACAGGTATTATCTTCCAATTGTCCTGCATCTTTTTATTTTTGTTTTGGTTTGGAGTCGGGACGCTGCCAAAATACTTTACCCACTGATGAGTTGGTGCCTCCTTTTGCTTGTTTTTACACATGCTGTTAGGATGCAGTTCAGAGCCTTTGCACAAGAGCACTGTTGAAGAATTAACAGATAAGCACTCGAGAGCCTTAGAACTTCATTCTGCTTCCGAAGCCCGCATTGTGGAAGCTGAGACGAAGTTGCAAGAAGCCATTGAAACATTCAGCCAGAGAGATTTGGAAGCTAATGGATTTTCTGGAAAGCACCAAACTTTTTTGTAATCATATTGCGGCTAAATATTGTTGCCTTATGGTTATTAGCTACATCTATTTGCCACAGATGCCTTTCTGCTGGCCTATTGGAGCCGACTTACTGCAAGAGATATCCAAACTTGCAAAAAAGCTCGAGGAACAAAGAGCACGAGAAGATGCTTTAAAATCTGAGGTTGAAAAGCTCAAGGCTGAGGCTGCTGAGAAACCTTTATTGCAGAAATCTCTCAAGGAACTGCAAACCAAATCAGCTAACTGTGAAGCAGAGAGAAGAAAACTAGCTGAGGCAAATATAAAGCTTAAAGAAGATGTGTATACATACAAGTCCAAACTAAGTGACCTTGAAGCAAAATATTCCACTGCCGTTGCTGAGAAGGACAGATCAGTTGAACAACTTCAGGCTGCAAAATGGACTATTGAAGATTTAACGCAGCAGCATTCTTCTGAAGGGCAGAAACTACAATCTCAGGTTTGCACCAAACTTTTTTTTAATTATTTTGCGGCTAAATATTGTTGCCTTATGGTTATTAGCTACATCTGTTTGCTACAGATATCTTCGCTTATGGATGAGATCCGCCTGCTTGATGAAGTGCATCAAAATACTAAGAAGGAACTCCAACAAGTGATATCCAACCTTGAAGAACAGCTCAAGGAACAAAAAGCAGGAGAAGTTGCTTTAAAATCTGAGGTTGAAAATCTCAAGTCTGAGGCTGCTGAGAAACCTTTATTGCAGAATTCTCTCAAGGAACTGCAAACCAAGTCAGCTCACTTTGAAGAAGAGAGCAGAAAACTAGCTGAGGCAAATATAAAGCTTAAAGAAGATGTGTCTACATACGAGTCCAAACTAAGTGACCTTGAAGCAAAATATTCCACTGCCGTTGCTGAGAAGGACAGATCAGTTGAACAACTTCAGGCTGCAAAAAGGACTATTGAAGATTTAACGCAGCAGCATTCTTCTAAATGGCAGAAACTACAATCTCAGGTTTGCACCAAACTTTTTTTTAATTATTTTGCGGCTAAATATTGTTGCCTTATGGTTATTAGCTACATCTGTTTGCTACAGATATTTTCGCTTATGGGTGAGAACCGCCTGCTTGATGAAGTGCATCAAAATACTAAGAAGGAACTCCAGCAAGTGATATCCAACCTTGAAGAACAGCTCAAGGAACAAAAAGCAGGAGAAGTTGCTTTAAAATCTGAGGTTGAAAATCTCAAGTCTGAGGTTGCTGAGAAACCTTTGTTGCAGAATTCTCTCAAGGAACTGCAAACCAAGTCAGCTCACTTTGAAGAAGAGAGCAGAAAACTAGCTGAGGCAAATATAAAGCTTAAAGAAGATGCGTCTACATACGAGTCCAAACTAAGTGACCTTGAAGCAAAATATTCCACTGCCGTTGCTGAGAAGGACGGATCAGTTGAACAACTTCAGGCTGCAAAAAGGACTATTGAAGATTTAACGCAGCAGCATTCTTCTGAAGGGCAGAAACTACAATCTCAGGTTTGCACCAAACTATTTTTTTAATTATTTTGCGGCTAAATATTGTTGCCTTATGGTTATTAGCTACATCTGTTTGCTACAGATATCTTCGCTTATGGATGAGAACCGCCTGCTTGATGAAGTGCATCAAAATACTAAGAATGAACTCCAGCAAGTGATATCCAACCTTGAAGAACAGCTCAAGGAACAAAAAGCAGGAGAAGTTGCTTTAAAATCTGAGGTTGAAAATCTCAAGGCTGAGGCTGCCGAGAAACCTTTATTGCAGAATTCTCTCAAGGAACTGCAAACCAAGTCAGCTCACATTGAAGAAGAGAGCAGAAAACTAGCTGAGGCAAATATAAAGCTTAAAGAAGATGTGTCTACATACGAGTCCAAACTAAGTGACCTTGAAGCAAAATATTCCATTGCCGTTGCTGAGAAGGACGGATCAGTTGAACAACTTCAGGCTGCAAAAAGGACTATTGAAGATTTAACGCAGCAGCATTCTTCTGAAGGGCAGAAACTACAATCTCAGGTTTGCACCAAACTTTTTTTTAATTATTTTGCGGCTAAATATTGTTGCCTTATGGTTATTAGCTACACCCGTTTGCCACAGATATCTTCGCTTATGGACGAGAAAAGCCTGCTTAATGAAGTGCACCAAAATACTAAGAAGGAACTCCAGCAAGTGATATCCAACCTTGAAGAACAGCTCAAGGAACAAAAAGCAGGAGAAGCTACTTTAAAATCTGAGGTTGAAAATCTCAAGGCTGAGGTTGCTGAGAAACCTTTGTTGCAGAATTCTCTCAAGGAACTCCAAGAGAAATTGGTGAAAACTGAAGCTCAACTGCAAAAAGAGGTAGAAATCAATTTCCATGAAAAAAAAATCCACAGATAAGCTCTTGGGCGGCCAAAGAACGGGGCACATTCATCTTTTAAATATTCTTTCTGACTAAGACGAATTGTAGGTTGAAAGCATTAAGGCGGCTGCAGCGAAAAGAGAGGCAGAGGCTTCCCCAATGCCGAGCTTTAAGTTCATCGTGGGAGTGGGAGTGGGAGTGGCTGTGGTGTCTGCGATCATCGGCCTCATTCTTGGGAGACGATACTAGATCAAGTTTTTGTGTTTTTGCTATTCCCTTGGCTGTTTGCAAAGCAAAACACAGATGGTTATGTATTATTCAAGTTCGTATTTAGTTTGTATATTGGGTTGCTGATGCTTTCGGAAATATAAGAATTTGTGCGTTTGTTGATATGAAAAGAAGAGGACGGTCTCAGTTGTTTGTGAGTCATACGGTCGGATCCCTAAATGAAATTACTTCAGGGCCGTTTGATAAGCATTTCATTTTCAGTTTTTATCCTTCTTTTTCGAAAACTTAAAACTGAAAACTCGTTCGGCAACTATTTTTAATTGTCAACTACAAAGCCCCATTTTTCTACCATGTATACTACCTACTTGTAATTGTTTGTTGCAGGTACTTGCCGAACCAATTCAGATCACTGGAGGCTGGCCACGATCACATATTTTTACTCCTACTTTCCGTCACTCTGCAGTAATGCCAGGGAAAGAATATAATCGGCCCGAGCAGTATCTCTAGACATGCGAGTTTGCTAAGGTGCCTTGCTTCCTGTAGGTACTTGAAGAAAGTGACGGTGGTGTGGTGAACTCATAAAGATGCTTGTCTTTGCATTCTGTCCTGCCGGCTCACAGCGTTGTGTTTAACATTCTTCTTTAACCACTTTCAATCCGCTCAAAATTTCATTGTCATCAAACCCTGTACATTGCCAACTATCTAGTTTAACTCAAGATGTAGAAAAGATTATATCTTCGACGATCAATTACAAACCATACAAACTTAGTTACCTGAACCCAATTCTTCAACTTCATCAACCGAAAGTTCTAAAAGCCTCGAGTTCTCAGAGGGGGGATCAAGTGACATCCAATCAGGATTTTCAGTGTCTTCTTGGTGCATCTCCATCTCTGCTACCCACTCTTCGGCAATGCTATTGCGGTCAAATGATATAGGATCCACGTACTCCTGTTCTTTGTGCTTATGAACCCTATAAGACAGTTGATTAGCAAAAGATCTGTTTTCTTTGACCAAAGAAATTGGAAATACAAATCAACAGAACCTATGGTTTCCACTTACTTCTGTTTTAGTTTGAGGTTGTATTGAACAAAAACAAGATCATTAAGCCGCTGATGTTCTACGCTGTTCCTTGTCTTATGCAACTGTTTGAATGGAATCTGATGATCCTGACACGGAACTAAGCTGCAAGTTTGACTGAGAATACGAATTGCCAAGCGTGCAAGGTTTGGGCAACCACCACCATATGTAGACCACCATTCAGCTAAGACAAACAGAGAGTTTAAAGAAATGAGCCAAAAGATGCAAGAACATCCAAACCTGTGCAGCATATCCTCAAAATAGGAGCCCTCGTATCGAATTTAAACAAAAAATAAAAAATAGATGGTCAGGGTATATTTTATGCAATTTATCATATCTATCATTCTATTATTTAAAGGTTAAAACCGAGTTAAAATATGGCTTAATTACCTTTGGTCTACGTGTATAGCCAAGTAACTAAAGAAACCATGCGACACAAAATAACCATGCATTCTAATGAACCATTCTCACCAGGAAGCAGATTGTCCCTTGCTCGGACTGCCAAATTCCTCCCCAAATCTCCAACAGCATTTTTGTACAAGTTTATCTCTTTGATTACTTCATCTTGGACTTTTATATCAGGAACCAATCTCTCTATGCAGTCAAACATCCTCGACACAATTTCATTATGCATGTCTCCTTTGAAGCCATAAAAGAACTTGGGATTAAGGTAAAATCCTGCAGCGTGAAGGGGACGTATCCATCAACTTCTTCCCAACAACAGAAAACTGCTCTTCAGTATTTGTAATGACTTCCAAAACATGTACCACTCCAATTTCTTCCACCATTTCCTTGAAAAATGCAAACAAAGCATCTGGGGAAAAAATAAAGTAAGAAGCATCCACAGATTTCAAATAGGCTGTTCCTTCAGAAGAGTACACTGCAAAATTTAGCAAAGTCCTACCCTTTTCAGAATTCCATTGGCTGACTAGAAGAGAACAACCTTTCCTCGCCCAAGTTTCCTTGTGTTGTTGAATTTCACTTTTCATCTCTTCAACTGCATTCTTCAACATCCAACCCCGAATGTCATCATATGAGGGTTCCACAGTCTCCATTCCCCCAGATGCAATTGCGTCAATCATTGGCTGGAAATAAACAGGGTTCCACAGCCTAACAATGTCATTCCCAAACGTATACCTTCTCATCATGTTCAAAATGATAACGTGTTTGTAGATAAATCTTGTAACAGATCTAGCCTGTTCAATTACAGAATTTATCCACTCAATTATATTTAAGGCCAGCCATTTGTTTCAACGTCATAAAGTTTTAGAAAAAGGGCAGCCCATCCACTCGTTTGAAGAGGAAGAGGATGTGGTGAAAGAAGAAAGAGAACGAGAGGGAAGGAAAGAACTTGAAACAATAAAAATAAATGATGATGTTTGGACGGGGAAAAGCTAGAAACATGATTCCATGCCTTGTGGCCTTTGAGACATATTTTACTCTAACAATTATTTTCTCTAACATGGATGTCTATTCTTTTTTAATAAAAACAGATTGCTCGACCAAGATGAACGAGACGTTGGAAAAATATATATGGAGTGGTCAATGAGCAACATTTTATATGATGGATTATAAATTATTATTTTGTTATTAAGATTATGATTATACTACTCTTGTTACTATTCAATTTGATTTATGTTGAAATTGCACGTTTGTAAGATAAAATGTGAGTATTATGCACATGACATATACATATGCATTGTAAAGCAAGAAAAAGAGTTGTGTTTTGTCAAGTGCTCACCTGTGTAAAAAGTGAAGTTGTGAGGATATTCAAGGGCTGAAGTTTGCCTTGAATATAAAATAATGAAATCTTATATATGTCAGGTGTAGGGTGAAGGGTTTGAATATACATTTGGGTGTTGGGTGAAATGCCTATTTAATAAAGTGAAAACTGAGAGTTTAATTACAAAAATTGGGTTTAAGGGATGAATGGGAGTTAACTCATATTCTAACGTACTCGAAGCCAAGTGGTATAAGCATGGTATGAGACGTGCTGGCTTGGGTGCCTTAGGTATGTGTTGACGGGATTAGAAGGGAGTGAGTACATTCATCCATCTTATTTGCATATGTTCCATGCATCTCAATGCATACATATTATGTATTGGCAAGGACTACTCATTTCAATTATTATTTAGTTGGTACTTTTGTTATGAATTAAATTTTGTATACTAATATTTTATTTCCGCTGCGTATTCAATAAATTATTTGTGGTACACTCAAGCTTTTATTATGTAAGATTTGTTATATGATGTATGGTGTAATTGTTATAATTTAATTTTATTTTCCACCATATCTTGGTTGTAGAGTTTATTTCTATAACTAAGATATGGCTCACACCCTCACTTGTGAATAGTCTTTGTTCACGGGTCGGGGTGTGACATGGCGTGAGTCAACATCCTAGGAGGATTTGGAATATAGGCAATGTCCTAGGAGGATTAGGAATGTAGGTGTGTTTCCTACTTTGATTATAAATCGTTTAATATTCCTTGTATCACAAGGATTTGAGTTGTATATATACCTCCCAACGGGAGAAGAATAATAACAGAGAATTATTAGAACTTTAAACTACAATTTTATCTTATGTTGATTCGGATTGGGTTGCAGATGTGAACACTAGGAGATCCATTACAGGATATGTTGTTTATCATGGTGATAATCCTATTTCTTGGGAATCCAAGAAACAAAGTTTTGTGTCTCGAAGTTCCATCGAGGCTGAATATAAAGCCATTGCACATGCTATTGCGATATAGCTTGGATTCGACTTCTGCTTAAAGATATGTGTGCTATTCTTCCTAATCCTCCCTTGTTATTGTGTGATAATCAGTCTACCATAGCCTTAAGTATGAATCCTATTCATCATTCAAGGACCAAGCATTTGGAAATTGACTTTCATTTTGTTCGAGAACGGGAGCAAAAGGGTGATCTTGATGTTCAATATGTGCCTACACAGGATCAAGTGGCTAACATCCTTACAAAAGGACTGTATGGTCCTGATTTTCTCAAACATTGTCGCAATCTTAATCTGGACTATCCCAATTAAGATTAAAGGGGGGGTTATTGGATATACATGCCACGTAGGCAATTGCCATGTTAGGGATAGCTTTAGAATTAAGTAGTCTTCGAAATACCTTGTATAAAGATCTTTTCCCTCTCTCATTTGTAGTCGGTTGGTTATATTGTAATAAACATTTTCTCTCTAAAAGATTCTAAGCTCTATCTTCTCACACAAGATTGCTTTTCATGTTCTTCCATTCTATCAAGATTTATATTTCTGCAATTCGTACAAGATAGTTAAGAATATATATAACTAATCACTAAACATCCCAAGCTTAACAGCTAAGTAAGAATCTAATCCGGTGATGGTTTTGATGCATTGCTTTTTGGTTTGGCAATCTCTTGAATTCGAGCTTTTAATCTCTCCCATTTCTTCCGTGGAAGCTGCTCCATTGGTTAATTTGGGTTGCATTTGGATTTGAATTGTCTTTTAGGTTTATAGAAATTATGGCTTTAATTTGTAATGTATTTCATGAGTTTAATGTACAAGGGGTCCATATATATATGAGAAGAAAAAGGGAGAAGAAAGAGAGATAGGAAAGAAGACTAATTACTCTAGTGCCTAGAGCTATCCCTAGAGAACATGGTAGCTCACCAATCAATCACATCCCTTAAATCAAGGAAAGAAGACTAATTACTCTAGTGCCTAGAGCTATCCCTAGAGAACACGGTAGCTGACTCTAGAGGCCAAAATACACTTCAACACTTCAACACTCCCCCTCAAGCTGGATCAAGGAGGTTAACTGAGCCAAGCTTGCCTAATAATCGATGGAACTGAGTGGATGCCAATGCCTTTGTAAAGAGATCTGCCAATTGATCATGGCTTCGTGTGAACATGGTCCGGATGATTTGAGTTTGAACTTGAGCTCTGATGAAATGACAATCCACTTCAATATGTTTGGTTCTTTCATGGAACATAGGGTTGGCAGCAACATGCATAGCTGCCTGATTATCACACATAAGTGACATATGAGTAGAACTAGAAAATCCTAAGTCTGAAAGAAGCCCTTTAAGCCAAATGAGTTCACAAGCAGTGGTTGCCATGGCTCGATACTCAGCCTCTGCGCTGGAACGAGCAATTACCTGTTGCTTCTTGCTCTTCCA